TCGCCGTTGCATAGGTGGTAATATGCTCTCGAGGGTTTAAAGTTCCATCATACTTTGGCACGTCAGGAATTTCAAATCGCTTTGGGATTAATTCTGGTGCCACAATTGGTTTGTACGACAAATGAGTATACTTCTTTGAGTCCGGACCTTTCAGCACCGATGGTGCGCCCGGAATTTGGTCCATGCGGGCATTCATTTCTCTCATAAACCGTAATAGTTCATTCTTGAAGGGATCGTTTTTCTTATTGGGCCCAGATCTACTCCCCCCCATCCCCATCGGAACCAACCACGCCCCTCGGGGTGTTTTTGTCAACCCTCTGTGTTGTTTGATTTGCGGTAGCGCCGGGAGGAACTAGACCTCATCTATTCGTATATCGAAAGCGCCCGATAACGCCTGCTTCAACTCCGTCATAACCTTATTCTGCCATGTGAGGTGACCTAGAATGATTAGTTGTTGCTCCTGTAGAACCCTTACCGCATCAACAACATGCTCCTCTTCAGCATCATCGGGAGTTGCCTCCCGAACATGTCGTGCGTACTACCTATCATGGACCGGCGTGGCATCGTTCCCCTCATTGTGGGTTTCGCTTATTGAATCCTCGAGATGAGGTTGGTCTCCTCGAACCTCAGGATTGCGTGTGTTGTTAATACCGCTATCTGCCATTTCTTATGATTTTTTGCTAAGACAAATAATCAAAACACATTAGTAAAAGAGGCAAGGATCAACTTAATTACATGGCTATCTAGGCCCCACGGTGGGCACCAAACTGTTTATCTGTAAAACGGTACAGTTAAATTTATACGTGGTTTCTAGACAAGTGAATTAATTTGGTCCTGAAATATTGAAATAATTAAAGAAATGCGCAATGCTTAGCCTTGAAATGAAGGTAAAATAAAAAAAACAGTAATTTCGGGGGGTAGAGCTTCCGGGCACAGCAGTGATGAAAATAAGGAACAAGAAAGTAAAATTATGTAAAGCTTTTGATCAATTATAGCGTAAATTTGCCAGAAAAATCATATCCTCTACAATGATAATATAGCTCACTATTTATAGCTACGCCCAGGGAATAAGGTCCTAGGATCGTGCCCTTCTTTAATGTCAATTATGAGGGCCATTGATGAAGGTGTGACGGTGATCATAAATGACAAATTCTCTGTCACGGGCAGCGTACTAAATGCTGTGGAATATTCTCCATTTAATGCTACCGGTCAGAGGGAATTTATTGTATCTTTACGAGTGTCATTCTTTCCCGTGACAAACGGGATAACTGCCTTCGGTTCTAACTATCCCTGCCTTAAGTTCCACGTGTCATTCTCTTAAGCGACCACGTAGCATAGCGTATTTTACCGTACACTGCATTATATCAATTCTTATGTGATTTTGTGAAACAAAATTTATAATTTATAAGTTTTTAATGAATTTCTTTAAACAAATACAAAGTTAGGATCATAATTACTAGATTCGGTCGAACATGATAGTTCTGCCTCTGAGCACATCGAATGACCGCTTGATTTAGATAAATGTGACTCTATTATATGTATATAGTTAATTTTATATCTTAAGTTGAACATGTATAATATAAGGAGATCACATTATAGCAATATGTGCCGAAATTCGTTATGAACGAAGTCTTTTCCTTATCCTCCGGGTTCATCTTAATTTGGTTGTACCCTGAATAAGCATCGAGGGCATGCATTAACTCGTGCCCGATCGTTGCATCAATCGTTTGATCGATGTTTGGCAGTGGAAACGAGTCTTTCGGGCACGCCTTATTCAAGTCCTTATAATCTACATACATGCAAAATTTATTGTTCTTCTCAGGAACTACTACTACATTAGCTAGCCAGTCTAGATACTTTACCTCTCGGATCGAACCGATATCAAGTAGGCCAGTTACCTCTTCTTTGACGAATTTATTCCTGGCCTCCGCAATATGGCATTTCTTTTGTCTTATCGGGGGGATGTTGGGATCCAAACTTAGCTTGTGTACGGCCACCTCCATTGGGATACCTGTCATGTCCGCATGCGACCACGTAAACAATCGGTATTAAATTTAGGAAATTCAATAAAGCCAGAAATGAGCTCGAGGTACAGTCTTATCCCCAAGCGGAATTTTTTCTGTTAAGAACTTTTCAAACAATACAACTTGCTCCAGCTCTTCCACCGTGGATTTTGTTGCATCCGTCTCTTCTGGTACCTAGAAATACCTTGGCACCTGATAAGATTCCGATGCTTCTACACCCGGGCTAACTTCATTCGATTCAGGAGCGGGCAATGCCATGCCACGTGCTCCTTCCCTTTTCTACTGGAGACCAAAATCGCATTCATCTCCCTTGCTGTCAGTTGGTCGCCCCTTATCTGTTTAATTCCTTCAGGCGTCGGAAATTTCAGCAATTGATGATACGTTGACGGTGCAACTCTCATCTCGTGCAAGCATGGTCTTCCCAGAATAATATTATATCCCATATCACCATCCACCACTTCGAGAAGAGTCATTTTCATCACTCTTTCAGCATTCGTGGGCAACAAAATCTCTCCAGGGTTTTCATGCTCGCGAGGTTGAATCCGGGGAGGAGTTTTGTGGCTGGAATGATACTTCCCGTGAGTTTATCTTGCTCCAATACTCTCTATTGTATGATATTGGCCGAACTTCCTGGATCCACCAGAACACGTTTGATTTTAAAGTCTAGCACATTTAAAAAAATTACCAATGCGTCGGTGTGTGGTAGCAACAATCCGTCTACTTCCTCCTCCGCGAAAGTAATGTCGTCTTCAGCAACTTCCCGGAGTCTCTTACTATGGGTTATTGATATTTTTGTCTTTTTTGCTATCGAGAAGGTGACCCCGGTTGATCTCGTTCCCCCCGAAGATCATGTTGATCGTCTGGCGCGGGGGATCTTCTCCTGCTTTCCAGGGTTTCGCGTTATCTTGGTTGCAACCGTAGTTATTCTTCGCCCGATCACTTAAGAATTCTCTGAGATGTCCATTCTTCAATAGTGTCACCACTTCTTCCCGGAGATGTCGGTAGTCCTAGTCCGGTAGCCATTCGACCCGTGGTATTCACACTACAAGTTGGGATCCCTCTAGCTGGGATCAGATCTTATTGGCTTCGGGAATCGTGCTTCTTTGATGTTTCTTATAGATGATACCAACTCTACTATACTGACGTTGAAATTGTATTCTGAAAGCCTGGGGTAGGAAGGATCCTGCGTACTACCGCCATTGTATAGGTGGAAATATGCTCCCGGGGGTCTGAAGTTCCATCATACTTTGGCACGTCGGGCATTTTGAATCGCTTCGGGATTAATTCTGGTGCCACAATTGGTTTGTACGGCAACTGAGTATACTTCTTTGAGTCCGGACCTTTCAGCACCGGTGGTGCGCCCGGGATTTGGTCCATGCGGGCATTCACTTCTTTCATAAACCGTAAGAGTTCATTCTTGAAGGGATCGTTTTTGTTATTGGGCTCGGATCCACTCCCCCCATCCCCATCAGAACCAACCTCGCCCCTCGGGGTGTTGTTGTCAACCCTCTGTGTTGTTTGATTTGCGGGAGCGCCGGGAGGAATTGTACCTCATCTATTCGCATATTGAAAGCCCCCGATAACGCCTGTTTCAACTCCGTCATAACCTTATTCTGCCGTGTGAGGTGACCTAGAATGATCAGTTGTTGCTCCTGTAGGACCCTTACCGCATCAACAACATGCTCATCTTCAACATCATCGAGAGTTGCTTCCCGAACATGACGTGCATACTGCCTGTCGTGGACCGGCGTGGCATTGTTCCCCTCATTGTGGGTTTCACTTATTGAATCCTCGAGATGAGGTTGGTCTCCTCGAACCTCAGGATTGTGTGTGTTGTTAACACCATTGTCTGCCATTTCTTATAATTTTTTGCTAAGACAAATAATCAAAACACGTTAGTAAAAGAGGCAAGGATCAACTTAATTACACGGCTGTCTAGGCCCCGCGGTGGGCACCAAACTATTTATCTGTAAAACGGTACAGTTAAATTTATACGTGGTTTCTAGACAAGTGAATTAATTTGATCCTGAAATATTGAAATAATTAAAGAAATGCGCAATACTTAGCCTTGAAATGAAGGTAAAATCACGAAAACGGTAATTCCGGGGGCAGAGCTTCCGGGCACAGCAGTGATGAAAACAAGGAACAAGAAAGTAAAATTATGTAAAGCTTTTGATCAATTATAGCGTAAATTTGCCAGAAAAGTCATATCCTCTACAATGATAATATAGCTCAATATTTATAGCTACGCCTAGGGAATAAGGTCCTAGGATCGTGCCCTTCTTTATTGTCAATTATGAGGCCATTGATGAAGGTGTAGCGGTGATCATGAATGACAATTTCACTGTAACGGGCAGCACACTAAATGCTGTGGATTATTCTCCATTTAATGCTACCGATCAGAGGGTATTTGTTGTATCTTTACGAGTGTCATTCTTTCCGGTGACAAACGGGATAACTGCCTTCGGTTCTAACTATCTCCGCCTTAAGTTCCACATGTCATTCTCTTAAGCGACCACGTAGCATAGCGTATTTTACCGTACACTGCATTATATCAATTCTTATGTGATTTTGTGAAACAAAATTTATAATTTATAAGTTTTTAATGAATTTCTTTAAACAAATACAAAGTTAGGATCATAATTACTAGATTCGGTCGAACATGATAGTTCTGCCTCTGAGCACATCGAATGACCGCTTGATTTAGATAAATGTGATTCTATTATATGTATATAGTTAATTTTATATCTTAAGTTGAACATGTATAATATAATCCGGCCGGTCTAAATCAATATGATTAAAGGTATTATTATTATTATTATTATTATTTTATTTTAATTTTTTTTTGTGTAAATGGGAGATGTTTTGTGTAAGCTATTCTTTTTTAAAGTTTTGCCCAAGGCAGGGAATGAGGATATGGCGCATCCCATTTGGCTGTATGCATGTGGTTCAAGTTCTCTTACGTTCAAAATTAGACTCTTTTATTAGTTTCACGTCATTGGATAAGAAGAGAGAAAACTAGAGGTGCTCTTTTTTCCCTCTTAAAATGGCGCCTTTTGCAAACTCCAAATCCAAGTACAATATTATCAGCCAAAAAAACCAGTAAAACTACAATTCAGTTAACTTCCAATATTTTCTGTTCCTTTCATGGACTCCGTCGTGTTTAAGCATCCATCATTTCCAACAATATTCATTTGCTCAAATTTTTTGTGGACTTCTCAAAATATAGTTGGATTTGGGCAATACAGAAAAAGAACAGTATTTACTACATTTTGTTCCGCTGAAATTAACCCATTTGAAAGCAATCAAAATGGTTCTGTATTTGGTGCTTTGAATGATCAGAATTCTTCAGTTCCATTTGAAACGTTGAGTGCTGAAATAACACCAGAAACTATTGATTTCTTTGTGAGTGATGCTGAGGGTGATCCTGATTGTCCCTCTAATGGTTATTCTTCAATTGGAGAGGCAATTACTGCATTACGTGAAGGAAAGGTTGGTGTTTTTTCTTTTCTTTCAAATTTTGGACTTTAATTTCGTGAATTTCTTGAAACATTAGTTGAATGGACTAGTAATTTTGGAGTTAATTTTACATTTTCGTGTGTGCACGGTTACTGAAATTTATCCACTATATATAGAGGCGGAGCCAGAATTTGAAGCTTATAGTTTCTTAATTTGACATCGAACCCATAGCTGGCCATAATTGCTGGATTAGCAATTAAATATTTATATATATTTAATGAATTTTCTTATCCAAATATGAAGCCTAAACAAAAGTTACTGGGTCCGAACCCATAACTGATACTCTCACTCCTCCCCTCACTATACACAGTACAGTAATCGAACTTTACCCACTTTAACATTAAAATCACTAACTTTATTTACTATAACAGTAAAATAAAAAAAACTATTTTTTTGTCATATTAAATTCGCTAAAATTTACCACTATAATGAAAAAACTGATCCATCAAGTTGACTTTACTAAGAAAAAAAAAGGGCAGCTCAAGCATCCCGCATTCACGCAGGGTCGGGAAAGTACCGCACACAAAGAGTGTGATGTAGACTGCCTACCCTGATGGAAGCATTAGTGGCGGCTTCCACGGCTCGAAACCGTGACCTATAGGTCACACGGAGACAACTTTACCGTCCTTATTGACTTTACAATTGTATCGTATAAAATTTTGTGCTTTTACGGTTATAGTGGTTAAAATTCATTCACTTTAATATGATAAAATTTTTTTTTTTTTGACTTTACTATTATGGTAGTAAAGTTCACTAAAGTACAAAAAATAGTTTTTTTATGAATTTAACTTGTACTTTTATGTTCATTTGGTAAAACTTATGATTGTGAAAATGTGTCAGTTTGTGATTGTTGTAGATGATGAAAGTGGGGAAGTGGAAGGAAACCTTGTAATGGGAGCATCCTTTGCTAGTGCAGAGGCAATTGCTTTCATGGTAAGACATGGATCAGGCATTATTTCTGTAGGGATGAAAGAAGAGGATCTTGAAAGGCTCAAGCTTCCTTTAATGTCACCTGAAAAAGAAGATGATTCTTCTGCTCCATCCTTCACAATCACAGTGGTAATTTGACTCTTCCTCCCATTGCTAAAAGTGTTTGTAATGTACTTAGTGCTATGCTTAACGGTTGAAAAAATTACTAAAATTTTGATGAATTTAGTGCCAACCGATATCAGTCAATGTGGCCAACATATTAACAGAAAGACTGAAGTTTTGCCAAATTTAGCTCTTACATTTATATAGTAGGAAGTAGATTTGTATCATTTATGTAATTTATGTCATTCTGTAACAATTTTATAAGCTATATTCTCAGGCTGGAGTTGAAACTCCCACCGCCAAATTACTGATAGTAGATGGCTGATAAATTCCATGATATTCGAATACAATGTGATGTTAAAATAACATTTCTGCTCATTGAAGTACCTTGTTTTATTATGCATAGGATGCAAAGGTGGGAACATCTACTGGTGTATCGGCTTCAGACAGGGCTAAAACTGTGCTTGCTTTGTCATCTCCTACTTCAAGTCCTGAAGATTTCAGAAGGCCAGGCCACGTTTTCCCCCTTAAATATCGAAATGGTGGGGTCTTAAGAAGATTTGGTCATACTGAGGCTTCTGTTGATTTAGTAATGTCAGCCGGCTTGCAACCAGTTTCTGTTCTTTCAACTGTAGTTGATAAAAATGATGGTTCAATAGCCACCATGCCTATTTTGGAGAATTTGGCCTTGGAGCACAAGATTCCGATTGTCTCAATAACTGATTTAGTAAGGTGAATCATTGACAAATGTTCGTTCCATTTAAGTAACCTCTTTCTTTTCCTATTTACTTATTTTTGCATAATAGTGTTGAGAACTTGTGCTGCATTTTCAGGTTCCAAATTTACCTGTTGCAGCCTTATACATTGTACTCATTAAGAGAGCAATAATAGCCAACTTACTGATTTGTATGTCATGTTTTACTGCTTGCAGATATAGGAGAAAGAGGGAAAACCTTGTCGAAGGAACTGCAGTGTCACGTTTACCTACCAAATGGGGATTATTCGAGGCTTACTGCTACCGCTCAAAGCTTGATGGAACTGAGCATATAGCTGTTGTAAAGGTCAAAAGCATAAATTATTAGTGATTTTATCCTTCAAACAAGTTGCATAATTCACCCGGAATTCCTTTAAACTTTAGAAGTCTTCAACAGGGTGATATCGGGAATGGTCAAGATGTGTTGGTAAGGGTACACTCGGAGTGTTTGACGGGGGACATATTTGGATCTAGACGATGTGATTGTGGTAATCAACTGGATTTGGCAATGCAGTTGATTGAGGAAGCTGGTAGAGGTGTGGTTATCTATCTCAGAGGCCACGAAGGAAGAGGCATTGGCCTCGGTAACAAGCTTCAGGCTTATAACTTACAAGATCAAGGCCATGATACTGTTGAAGCCAATTTAAAACTCGGCTTTGCTGCAGATGCTCGTGAATATGGCATTGGTGCACAGGTTAGTCACATACTTTTCTCATATCTCTTATCTATTGACAATGGAAGAATATAACTTCTATTTTATTCATTGAAACAGATGTTGAGGGATATAGGAGTTCGTACCATGCGGTTAATGACTAACAATCCAGCAAAATTTACCGGTTTAAAGGGCTATGGTTTAGCTGTCGTTGGACGCGTACCAGTTTTGACACCCTTCACAGAGGAAAACAGGAAGTATTTGGAAACAAAACGAACAAAAATGAGTCATATATATGGATCTGATGTGCAGGGACCAATTAAGGCGTCCATCAACCGAAATTTAAAGAAACAAGATCCGCCCCAGGAAAGAAAAGAAAGTTGAATAATAGCAGATTACTTTCAAGAAGGGAGATTCTCTCATCTGTTTCATACTTGATTCACATTTCTTTGGACAACTAATTTTTTGAGGTATATTCAATTAAAGAAAAGAAAATGCACTAAAGCAGCAATGATACATATATACTTTCTAAATGCTGCTTTCTTCAGTTCCCCTACTAGATAATTATGTACATCCAAAATCCAAAAGTTCAATAATTTTCTTTTGAACTTTTGACTTTCTTTATCTCATTTTATCTTTTAACATGGAGGCCATTGGTATAAGGATCTGTTAACTGTTATTTTGAGGGCACAATTTAAATTTGCTTGGTGCAATTTTTGTTCTGATTTGATTGATGTAGTTTTAATCTGTCTAAATTGCATCTAAAGAGTATTAATTTATTATGCCGAATGCCCCCCCCCCCCCCCCCCCCCGATTTGTGTTCCTGTTGCCAAAACTGTTGTAGCTAAAAGATAAGAGCATAAATAACTCATGTGATTCTTCTCTTATTTTCCACTTCTATGCTCTGGAGTGATTGTAATCTGCTTCTGTTGGCTGAACTCTGAAGCAAACTTATTATCACTGACTATAACTTTCATGAAAAACAAGAAAGAAATGTGAAGAATGAACTATACTTTGGAATGATACAATCTTCTAACTTTATTATCTTTGTTCTTACAAGAATTCCTCATTACTTTAGAATGATAATTCAAACTGTTCAGTAAAAGGGATAGTCTCTTTTCCAAATCATTGAATCAGAGAAATCTCAAGGAGATATCAACCTTACAAGGAAGAAAAAACATGTCATACATCACATGTACTCTTCAACCTTATTTGGTAAAATAAGGTGTTTAAGCGTCAAATAGCGTTCCCTGTTACCAGAATATCTGCCTTGGCTAAACATTGCGATTATCCTTGCCTCGTATCAACTTCCTCTCGTTCCTGAAGCTTGTCATTGCTAATTCAAATGTATGTTATATATCCCAAATCCTTGTTCATAAAGCTCTCTACAGGAAGAGAGCATACCGTGGAGCTCTTAATATAGACAGTGTAATGATTGAGAGGCATACCTATTTAGTTGTTACACAATGTTAATACCACTAGTCAGCACTTCCTTCTAAAGCTCAGAAGAACGATTCTGTAGTATCTGTGACCGGATATCCTCATTGTGCACTGATCTTTCGCGATTGAAATCTTCCCTTCTCAGAGTTTCTAGTAATGTGTACATAGAAATGGAATGTCCTTGTTGCATTTTGACATTAAATACATTGGATCTGCATAGTGGGCAGCTTGAATGAATCTGAAACCAAGTGTCAATGCAGGCGACATGGAAAACATGAGAGCAATAAGGTAAGTGTTTCAGCCATTCTCCATCTACAAATTCACCTAAACAAACTGCACAATCTGCATTATTTGGTCTGGTTGTTTGTTCGTCGTTCTTCTTGAACTGAGTGATTGGCAGTGAATGCATAATATAGGAGTCTAGTCCCCGGCTATGTATCTGTGAATCAGTATCATCAAGAATTTGCTCGTTTAGATGATGCCTTTGAGTTGGATTTCTGTACAAACGCGCAGATAGATACCCACAACAGTGTGTCTGTATTATCTTCAAATAACTAAATAGAAGAAGTATCAAACAAATTACACCAACTGAGGCAATCAGCAGTGGATCCCAACGCGAAGGTCCTACGCCTGGAGAGGAATTTGGACTAGACATGCTATTCTGAATTTCTGGACAAAAAACAGGAAAGAACTGTTGGAATTGAATCGATATGGCTTTTAAGACAAGTTGCTATAAGCAAATTTGAGGGATAGCATTGTCTAGGAACTTTGTAATTGGAGATCATTCTAAGTTTAGAAAAACTTTTGAGGACATGGACTGACGGTCATATCAAAGTTAGAGATCAATATAGACAAACAAGGTTGGTGATGAATCCAAGAATTTGACACTCACACTTAACTTTCTGGCAAGTTCATTTATTTGTAAGAAGAGGTTACAAATTTTTACTATCCAGACAATCAAAAAAGAGAATTCTTGGTCTATTTCTCCGTCTTAAGGACAGAAAATAGGATTGATCAAATTCTATTGAGCATTTCTGTACTTCATTTCTGCAAGGGGAGCCATGTGACCAGGAGGTCACGAGTTCGAGCCGTGGAAACAACCTCTTGCAGAAATGCAGGGTAAGGCTGTGTACAATAGACCCTTGTGGTCCGGCCCTTCCCCGAACCCCGCGCATAGAGGGAGCTTAGTGCACCGGACTGCCCTTTATTTCTGTACCGCGAGTCTCTTTTTGATACCAAGGATTCTAGACGCTGATAACATTTTTTGTTTGTCATTTTCTTTGCAATCACTAAGATGCTTTCATCTTGCAGACAGCTCACTGGACAAATACTATATCCAGAATTTTGCTGTCATAATAGTTTTAAAATGATAGTTCAGTCTACATTAGACAGAGTTCAACTGGTGGATGGTCTGTTTCTTGGCGCAAATGACAAAAGCAATTCTTTTTCTGAAACATATCAAAAGTTCTCTTAGACAACAAAAACTTCAGGAAAAGGTTCAGTTAAACATTTAAGGAGCCACAAACATTAAATTTGGAGTGATATATCAATATATTTATATTGAATCATAATCAAAATTCACATTCATAGTTATTGTTTATTGAATAATGAAAAGAGAACTGTAAAAATGAAAAAGCCAAAGGAAATATGAAATCCATCAACCAAAAAGAGCTAATACTGTCAAACTCAAAATCAGTATATCCCATTTACAAACACTCAGCAATCTTCTTTGTACAAAAATTGGAAGCATAGGCATCAATTTTTCAACTTGTTTTACTGCAACCTTTGTCTCTTTCCCAGGACAACAAAGTTGTTCATATTTGCACCAGAAGATATCAACCTCTGATTCTCCAAACAAGAACCAGAGGGAAAATTAGCAAAGTTCAACATAGATGTAGATACCATTTGTAAAGAACCACATGACATATCAAAATAAGGCTGAGAATGCAATATTCTTGAAGCAAGATTCTGATTTGCCATCTCAGTTTCACACCCTTTAATGGAAACTGGTGGAATATTAGACGGCTTAAGCTGAGGCGGATTGCGCCATTGAGGTAGTGATCCAGCTACAAGAAGTGTCTGTAGAGGTGGCCCTGCTTCAATAACAGACTTCAATAGTTTCCCTTTCTGTGGTAAAGGTTTCCCCTTTACAAGATTTTCAATAATCAATGTGGCCTGATCAATTTCTGGGACAACCTTATAATCCTGAGCCAAAGGCTGATTCATATAGGGTACTGCATTTGAATTAGCCATGTTGTTGTTGGAAAACTCAGGTGATGAAACTGCATCGAAAAATGACTCGACCGGGGATGAATAATGTGACTGATAATTGTATGTTTCAGACAGGCTGTTTGATTCAGTTATGCTTGAATTTGCTTTTGCTGCCTTCAAAATAGGACTATCAACTTGGAACTGAGATGAAGTTATTTTGTTGAGTAGTTTCTCAAGTTGATTTCTTGCTTCATCTCTTTCTTGACAAACCATCTTTAATAGTTGGATTAATTGCTTCACATATTCTTTGTTCTTCCTCATTTCTTCACTTTTTTCCACCTTCAATTGTTCAAGCTCAAGATTAGTGTACACTAGCTTCTGTCTCATTTCCTCCATGGTCTGCAACATTTGATCAAAACCCCAAGTTAGAGAAAAGTCTTACAAATTTGAACTTTATTAATAGGCATACTAATGATGAAAGATCACTAAATCAAAGACTTTGAAAGAAATCAAGAAACCATTCACTGTAATTATCTGGTCATAATCATTTCATGAACAAGTAATTTAAAGTTATTAGTGATAGTGACACCTTGGACAAGGGCCCATGTGGAAGGTGATGAAATCATCTCAGTCAAATCCAAAAGTTTTAAAACTAAAATAAAGAATTAAGTAGAAAGTATGTGATCACCCTTGGATACCTATATTAAAGAAAAATTTGATGCATTGGACCCTGCAATGATTAATTCTTTATATTTGCCTATAGCTTCTTGAGCAGTGAAAAGGTCTAATAATCAAAGCAAAACCTGTTTCGAATTAGAGAAAAAAGGGATTGCACCACTTTTACCAAACAAAAGCTACAGTAAGTCTAAAGGCACAAGATCATTGACTGTGCAAAAGAAAACTCAATTCTTAAATTTACTGTTTCTATAAGGGAAGCCTTGGCGTAACCGGTAAAGTTGCCGGTATGTGACCAGTAGGTCACAGATTCGAGCCGTGGAAACATGCTCTTGCAGAAATGCAAGGTAAGGCTGAGTACAATAGACCGGCGTGGTCTGGCCCTTGCCCGGATCCCGCGCATAGCGGAAGCTTAGTGCACCGGGCTGCCCTTTACTGTTTCTATAAAGTTGGAGTTTTAGCAAAATACAATGATATTCAGTAAATCCATTTCAAGATATTTCTTATTTATGGACTGCCCCATTCAGACTCTTCACACACAGACACAGAGGAAAGTATGAGTTTTCAGTTTTGAGGTGAAGTTATAAACAGAATAAAATGGTACACAGATGACATGAAGTACAACAACAACGACGACCCAGTAAAATCTCACTAGTGAGGTCTGGGGAGGGTAGTTTGTACGTAGGCCTTACCCTACTCCGAAGGAGTAGAGTAGCTGTTTTCGATAGATCCTCGGTTCAAAAAGACGAAAAGAGGACATGAAGTGAGAAACTGTAATGAAAATGAAGAAGGAAGCACCTCTTGATAACACCATAAAGAAGCCATTTCTTCCATTTTCTCTCTCACAAACACAATCACTATTACCTAGAAGAAGCAATGGGAAAAAAAGAAATGAAATCTTGAAAAAGAATTTTTGAGGGGAAGGGGAGTTTTAGGAGAGATGGATTGTAAGTCTTATATAGAAGGAAGCTACCCAGAAAAAGACAAAAGAAGCTCCAGTATTGAGCAACCAATCTCTATTATGGTAACAAAAGTTTATTATGGAATCTTAAAGAATTTCCATTAAAGTACTATTGAAAAAAAGAAAAAGAAAAAAAAAGAAAAAAACCCCATTTTTCTTAAGACTTCTCCCTCCTAGTATATGAACTATTTTTGGATTCCACTCTTTTAGCGCCCTTGACTCTTCTTACCTTAAACAAATAAGCAGACAGTTTAATTTTTTGTTACACTATATATTAATGTATTTTTTAAAATTACTAGTATACTCTTTATGAATAGCTAGAGGCGGAGTCATGATTTAAAGTTTATGGTTCTGAATTTATCACGGAACTCATAGTTCGTCTTAGTTATTGGACTCACAATTAAATATTTATACATATTTAATAGTACAAATATAATTTTTAAGTAAAAATGACAAAGTTTGACCGAACTCGCACCTACTAGACTAGCTCGCTTCCGTGAATATCTTGGTGTAGAAATTCATTTTAGAAGAGTTTAAACTTTGTATAAAAGTTAATTAAACTCAAAAAATAAACATACTTCTCTCTCAACATATACATAAGTACCATTACTTCTCTCCTTCAAACTAGTAATTGATATGGTCAATGACCATATCTGGTTAGATTTTCCTTGAATTGGAATGAAAAGACCCTTTTTTCTTTCTAGGTGAATATAAACTGTAGCTCTAAACTACCTAAAATCGTCCAGAAATACCGATCGATTTCGGTTGGAAAAACCGACTTTAATTCGTCGAAATTAGGCTGGTCGGTAATAAATAGCGACCAAAGTCGATCGCAATTTTCGATCGATATTCAGGGTTTGTACTGTGGCATGATACTATTCTTCCACTAGACCATTAGCGCATTTTGGTTTAAGACTTTCTTTTATTTTATTTGTACTCTTTAATTGCATTTTCCGGCGAATAATCGACCAATTTCGGTCGGTTTTATTAAAAATATAAAATTACCGACCGAATTCGGTCGGTTTTTTAAATGACTAACTGGAATAACGACCGAATCGGTCGGTTTTATGAATATTAATTTTCTTTTTTTTTATATGAAAAAACCAACGATTTCGGTTGGTTTCTTAAAAAATAAAATTTGCGGAACTTTAAAATAGTTTCCCGTATTTTTGCAAAAAAAAAAACGACCGAAGTTAGACGGTTTCGTAAAAGAAAAACTAAAAAATAAAATATTTCGAAAACCGACCGACCGAAGTTGGTTGGCTGCGGTCGGTATAGGCCGAATTTCTAGTAGCGGCGCTGTTCTTTAAAGGGTTTTCTCCGCTTTAACATTGTTAGTTCATTTGATCCTATTGGAAATAAAGAAAATAATAGTGTAAATCTAAATGTTTCTGTTATTGAGTAGAAGATCAAAAAATGAATGTTAAATATTCGAATGATCTTGAAGCTTCGCCACTGCTGATAAAAAGGAAAGTAATTGCACTAGCTAGTATACTGTTAAATACAAAGCTCATTATAACAACAATAGACCCAATATAATCCCACAAGTACAGTCTGAGGAAGGTAGTGTTTATACAAAAACTTTACTTTTAGCTATCTTGTAAAGATAGAGCGGCTATTTTCGATAGACCTTGGGCTCAAAAAAAGCATAGTCACAACGTAGTTGAAAAGAATTTAATATTGCATTGTGCTACATGTAAGAAAATACAAAGCTCATTGTATAATTTAAATATGGACAAGAATTTAATGTTGCATTGTGCTATATTTAAGCAAATATATGAGCACTTTTTGGTGAAATTTTAGAAAGGTAAGCTTCGAGAAAAATCATGGCATTTATTAGCTTTTTCCTAAATTTACTCGGTATCCAAGAATGGAATTTTTGGGTCTCGTACTCCTGCCATACTGCTATTTCCATTTTTAAGTTCTTAATAATTTTATTTACTTGTTAAGCAAGAATGTCCTTTATTACATTTTACCTATGTGAAAAATAGAAATGTACCCCCTCGGCCCCTCCATTAAAGAATTTTAGAGCCCATTTAGACATAAGAATTTGTTTACCGTTTTCCGAAAAAATTTTACTTTTTTTCGAAATTAGTGTTTAGTCATAAAATTTCTAAAAATCACTTGATAAATTTTTGAATTTTTCGAAAATTTAAAAAACTTCAAAAAACTGTTTTTCAAAATTTTCACTCAGATCACTCACAAAACTTCAAAAATAACCCAAAATTATATTCATGTCCAAACACAACTCTAATTTTCAAATACCATTTTCAGTTGAAATTTTTTCTTACTTTTTGTAGAATTTTACAATTCTTATGTCGAAACTCTCACTTAGTTTACTCTCTTTTTATCCCTGAAATGCAAACTTTTGGTATGATCAGGGAGATAGTAGAGTATTTTTATTTGTGTGCTTTTTAAAATAGAATTTAAATTATATGCACTAACTATATAGTATACTATTATTTACACCATCATTAATTCATAGAACTTAACCTCTTTTCTATTTAAAAGTCAGATCTTTTAATTAAAAAAATAACTAAAGTCTGTTAATTTGGGACTTGTATAATCATGTACTTCTTTTTCTCGAGGTTTCAGTTTTTTCGTGAGAAGCACTAGTATTGTGTAATAGATGTATATTTGAAAAATGATTAAATTATGTGCAGGTTTATTATGGAAAAGAATAAGAAGTATATAATCATTAAAAAATAATAATCCGATGGGGCGGTGTTCGAACTGCCCAAGAAACTGAAATAAACCGAATTGCTGTTGACTTTATACAAAAGTGTATTTTCTACATTGTATTCACTTTGATAAAGTTTTTCTCATATCCCTATACAACTGGCACACGGTTTTATGCTATGAGCATTACTGTTAAATTAAAAAATTAGTATAATTAGCCATATTAATTTGGTAAATCCCATTGGAGAATTATTCATCCTTTTTATGTAATAGAACTTTGCTTTTGTCACGACCCCAAACCGGAACCGGTCGTGATGGCGCCTTTCGTGAAACAAGGCCAGCCGACACAAACCCCCAAAACCTATTAACAGTTGTAATAATTCATAAGCAGTCATTAATAAGTGATTCATCCCAAAACAGAACGAACTAAAAGAAATGCGGAAACAAAACACAGCCCGACATCGGGGTGTCACCAGTCATGAGCATCTAAAATCTGTCTAAGAGTATGAAAAGACAACATGGTCTATTACGAAACTAGGACAAATGAAATAAAAGTAGGAAGGAGAAGCACTGGGCTGCGAACGTCGAGCAGCTACCTAGTCAACTCCAAATAAGCCTGCTGGAAGCAAATCAACCCTCGCTAGCGTGACCTGAGACTCCTGAATCTGCACACAAAGGTGCAGGGAGTAATGTGAGTACGCCAACTCAGTAAGTAATAAAATTAAAGGCAGCTGAGCGATAAGAAAACAAGTAAATACACAGCAAAATGCTACAACGAGGTAGTGTAAAACCAGCACAATACAGTAAACAGTAAGAACTCATAAAAACTTCTTAATTCAATAAAACCATTTTTAAAACATCTTTTAGTAGTTCAAACGAGTGAATGAAAACCAATGTAAAATATAGAAACACAAAACAGCCCCTCGGGCGAAAATACCAATAGAACCAGCCCCTCGGGCTATCTCACAATCACTCGTATCAGCCCATCGGGCAACAACATGGAACAACATCAGCCCCTCGGGCTATATCACATCACAAACTGGGTACCCGCACTCACAGGGGGTGTACAGACTCCGGGAGAGGGCCCTTGCGGCCCAAGCGCAATAATAAGCCATCTCGTGGCATAATCAACAGGCTCTCGGCCTCATATAAATCACAATCAGTACCATATGTTGCGGCGTGCAGCCCGATCCCATAGTATCCTCACAACACAGGCCCTCGGCCTTAATCAGTCAGAATCTCACAAGCCACACGGGCAACAGTAAAACATGATGCTCATCCCAAAAATAGCATTTACAATATCAAAAACGAGTAAAGATGGCTGAGTTGTGAAAATAGTAGAATATAGCATGACTGAATACAAATACTAAGTCAAAATAGTGAGTAATAGCAGTAAAATCCTGGCACGAGGCCCAAGTATGGCATTCAGCCCAAAACATGATGATAGCAAACAATTTTCAATCAAATACGCAATTAAACAGACATACGGGACGGACTAAGTCATAATCCCCAACGGTGCACGACCCCACGCTCGTCATCCAGCGTGTGCGTCACCTCAAAATAGCACAACGATGTGAATTCTGGGGTTTCATACCCTTAGGACAATATTTACAATCATTACTTACCTCTATCCGGTCCAATCTCTAGCCCACGACGCCTTTGCCTCTCGACTCGGCCTCAACTCACGTCGAATCTAACCAAAATCAGTATCATGACGTCAAAATATGCTAAGGGAACGAAGCCCATGCAAAAATAATTAAATTACGACACAAATCCCGAAATTAACCAAACCCGACCCCCGGGCCCACGTCTCGAAATCCGACAAAAATTAACATCAATGGAACCCTTATCTTCCCAATAGTTCATGCATATCAAATACTTCAAAATCCGACCACAAATGACCCCTCAAATCCCTAGATTTAGGTCTCTATTCCCAAGCCCTAACTTCAAATTTTCAGGCTTATTTTCCACAATTTTCATGATTAATTAGGTAGAAATCACATTAGAATTGAGTATTAAGTCCATAAATCTTACCTCCAAGTGTTCCTCCTTGATTCCCTCTTCAATCCTCTTCAAAAGGCTCTAAAATCGCCCAAAAATGGTGAAACTTAGGCTAAAAGTAGCGGAATGGGTCTTTTAAACATTCTACCCAGCTATTAAAAATCCTTCATCGCGAACGCGGTCAACGCTCGTGAAGCACAAATTCTAATTGACCATTTTTCCTTCTACGCGATCGCGACTCCCTGTACGCGAACGCGAAGACTTGGCTTCCCAACACAGCGCGAACGCG